TTTTCCAAAACTCATGACGCTAGCGCTCGGGGGAGGGGGAAAGGAAGTCCTCCAGAAGTTGGAAAAATTAGAATGACCCTAAGGTAAAAGGTCTCAGTTGATGCTAGTCAAATTATCAAAGGCATAACACTGCTTAACTGTAAAGCCGAATGGAAATGCGGCCCCTGATACTTTGTTTCGAACTTAATCTGCACCGAAGCAGTGAAAAGAACGAGACGAAAGTGCAAACCTGCAGCATTCCACGGCTCTTGTAAGCAGTATCCTGGCATCCTCGGGTTCCTCCAACTCAACAGCTGCTTTCCACAGACGAACTGATGTGGGAATCTGCTCCAGCGCCTTCCGGACCACTTTCTTTTTAACTTTCAAGTCGTCTTCAAGTTCCGCTGCTTTCATCCAAATACGCACCGAATTTGGTAACGAACGTACAGCTGCTGCCACTGAAAAAAAAAGCATGTTTAACGCAATATCTCCAAACAGGGAAGTTAGAAAAGTTAAAAAACCTTGAGCCAACTTACCAATAGTTTTGGCGGACTCTGGCGGATGCAGGCGAACAGATTCAAGCCAAAGATCTTCACTGTTCGGGTTTCGATCGCAGCCCTCAATGATCAAATTACGGGCCACTTGTAATTTGCCCACCACTTCTTCCAAACGTGCCGAAGCAATCCATGCTAAAAAAAAATGCCAATTATAGGTTAGCACAAAGATATCAATTGGTACCAGCTCTACATATTAAGATCATGCTGATAATTTTGGTATAAGCAGGCCTATTTCTGCTAACCAAAATGCTTCACCATAAAGTACAAGGAAGCATTTGCTTTGCTGTTGACCGAAGAAACATCAGAAAAATAACCTGGTGGATGGCGAGGATTGGTTTCACGAACAGACTTCAGCAATAGACGAGCTTTTTTGATATCGTTAATGTCACCACCGTGCTGAGGAATCATTGACTGCAGGTCCGTTAAATAACCCTTCGGGTCGACTACCGTCTGTCCCGTTACCGAATCGGACACCTGGAATTTTTTTACCAAATCAGAATCCTACTTGGAAGGATAAGAAAAATTTAAGACACAGAATACGAGCAGAATTTGCTGCTGTAAGAAAAATCTGCCATAATTTTGTTACAAACAACAATAACAAATGTCCCTAATAATTTCAATTAAGCGCGCCAATCAAGCTGTCATAAGCAGTACTCGTTCGTTCAAATACGGCCACGAGATGAAAGACTTGTGCTGTCTTATATGCTCTTTTATATGGCTACTTTGAATCTGAACTAATTTCTTTTTTATTGTGAAAAACCTTCCGTGCTGTCAATGAGAATAACAACCAGAAAACACTGCCGCTATGTTCGAAACTACAAGAAGGTATGCAGAAAAACCACAACTGGTCAAAGCATAGAAGTATGCTCGAACTGTTTAGACTAGTACCCAGACGATTGTGAAAAAATATTCCACTAGAAAAGCGAAAAGTAAATAATTTAATCAAATAATTAAATCAGGCCACAACAAAAAACAAATAAAATATATTCCCCCTCCCCCACCCCTAACCGAGATCAAGCAGGAGCCCGAAATCTGGTCATTAAGAACTCGAATGGCAAACATTTCCTCGAAAGACCTTCCAACACATGCAAATGCGTTTACACAATAATTCAGTTACATGGTACCTGATTCAATTTGATGTCCATAATAGCATTTCTTGCTTGGCCAATTTTTCGCAGGTCAAGATCGGCGGATGATGAGGAACTACTCCGAATGCCAGTCTTCCAACCCGGGGTTAAAAGACCCGATTTTATGCCACTTAGCGTGGACAAGTAGCCACTTCCATAGGTGGAGGTCATCCCGTTGAAAGTCGATGTGATGCCCGAGCCCATTGGCGTCAATAGGCCTGACTGAACGCGATTGTCCATTTGAGTGCTTAACTGTCCGTATGCCATTGCTGACGCCAACACTGAATCCGGTACTGGAGTGATCCTAGAAAACACCTTCGATCAGTTTTTGGTCTCAAATTTACAAATAAATTTTTGCGCGAATTTGTAAAATGGAACAGCCTAAGGCTCCAAAGATGACAAAGCACTTCTTATAATCTGCATACTTCTCGTATAATTTTTATACGGTTTTACGTCTATGCAAAGTAAAAACGCATATTGTTGAGGGGTTGCCTGCGTGTACGTAGTCGTTTGCACCGATTTTTCATTCCGAGACCTACAAAAACTACAAGGCTGAAACTTTGGGAATTTAATCTGAATGCGCACATGGGTCCCCGTTCCCAGAATGGGCACTCTTACCCATATGGTTCCCACGCACGGGCCCGACAAATTTTTTGGCGAGTAAGCTGCTAACTCGTGAACCAGAAGAGCTAGAAAGCTGGAATTTCAAAGGGATGTTCTCCCTTCACGTAGAACTTAATGAGTCCAAACGCAGCCCCCAGGTATGCGCGATTTCCACGCACGGGCCCCTGAAAGTTTTTTGCAAACTGAAAACCTAGAAAGCTGGGATTTACACTATGTCTCCCACCCACGAACAATGTAATGGATTCAAATCCACCTCCCTCCCACCGGCCCCCGGGTGAGCGGTCTGCCGGTGTCATTTTTTTGCGGATAAATTGCTAACTCGGGAACCTGAAAAGCTAGAAGGCTGTTATTTAGGGGGATGTTCCCTGACAGTCCTGGCAGCCAGCCTCAATCCTTTTGGCTAGAAGTACTTGCCGGAAAAAGCAGTGCCGTTAGCGACAAAAACCTGCGGATAACTGTGCAAAAAACGCATCTTCGCCGCGGCAATCGGTGCGCTCACCATTAGTTTTTTTTGATACAGTGCTGTGCGGGCCGGAGAGTTCACGGTTCGCCACCGTGGGGTTCCTGCCCATGTTTAACACTGATTCTACGCGCACACTGTATCCACCAGCCTCGACAAGGCTGGCACTACGGAAGCTGCTGTGCCGCAATGCCGACAGTTTATCCTCAGTGGACAGAACAGTGATGTATAACCGGACTTGTAGTAAGGCTCCGCAACACGGAGAGAACGAGGTGGCTCGTACCCCGCTACTGAGGCACGCCTGTGGTCCTCAAATTTCAAAATGTCTTTTCCAGCTCGCATGGTCACTCAGTTCACCTCCTAGGCTTCCTCCCGTTTCCCCCCCCCCCCACTATCAACACCGATCGAAGAGGTATTGTCAGTAAGGGAGACGTCTAGGAGGCAAGCAGAGGGATCATATAAGGAGGAGACATTCCAGCGCCAGCAGAAAATAGGGCTCTGTTAATAAATAACAAAGAAGCGGCAACAGCGACTTGCCTGTCAGCTCGTGGATTGCGTTTTGCCTTGTTTCGAATATCGCCCACTTCTGGGATCGCTGACCATTCCGCCTCAGTTACATTTGACAGCAGTCGTTTCAGATCAGAAAATTCTTGCTGAATTTTGGGTCGCTCTTTTCGATATTTCTCAATTGCTTCCTTGTATTTTTTCTCTCTAAAAATCACAGTGAGAAACACCACCCTGAATAAATAGAAAAAAGTTCCAAAAATTATGGAAACTTAGGAAACTTAGGTGGGAAAAAAGGATCAAACGGAACACACGAAATGCGTAAATTTAACAAAAAATATGCCAAAAGTACTAATATTGATACACTTCGGATGCAAATATTTACCTATATTCTTTGCGTCGTTCGTCGATGCGTGCGTCCACTGCTCGATAAATCTCGTCCGCTTCCTCGTCATCCTTGTCATATGGATCTTTCGAGAACAGACTTCCACCGTAACCTTCGAACTAAATTCACGGAAATGTAGACAGATAATTGACCGTCACACAGACATCATACACATATACATACGTACACACACATACATACACACATACGTACATACATACATATATACATGCATATATACATACATACATACATACATAC